AGCTGTTTGGAGTTAGAGTTTTGGAGTTTAGGATTTAGGGTAGAGTTTAGGGGTTTAGGGCCTAGGGGTGGAGAGTTTAGGGTCCATGGAGCTTGCAAAAATTCACTCTAGGCGGTGAGGGTTCTATAGACTTCAAAGGGTCCCATGTGGGGTTTGTTCTTGTGGGATATCCTCTCCTTGTGGCTTCTCTTGTCTTGGCGCCTTGGTGGGCCTGTTATGAAGTTCTGTAGGAATCTTTTTAAGAAACCCCGGGCCTTCATTCGGGCCCCTTATATGAATCCTACTATTTTGGGGTTATAGACCCAGGGTTTCTTAATCAGATTCCTACATTTCCCATGGCGTTGCATTCCGGTCTGGAGTCTCGGGCTTAGAAGCTGAGTATCTGCCTGGACCCTAAAGATCCTCCCTTTGGGGGGAAGTTTTAGGTTGAGGGTCGCAAAAAAAACTTTGAAGAAGCTCCCCGTAGTCGTTTGAACTCCGATAAGCCGAGCAGCGCTGCCTGACACACTACCTATAGTTCCAATTTTTGGTTAACCAAAATCTCTATCATAGGGTCCTTACCATAAAACTGGTGAACAAAAAAGGAACTACAATGGAGACTATAGGTAACACTGGTTGTTACTGTTTTGGTTGATGACTGTTCTTGCGCTCCATCTACCCAGGGCATCGACCACGAAATCTAAAATCGAAGGCTAGATATGGCATTGCACGAAACTGACCGCTTAATCTGCTTGGCGAGGCCACGAAATCTAAATCCTAGGCTGAATATGCAAGGCCCAAACTGACCACTTAATCTCCTTGGTGAGGACTTACCCTACGCCTCTTCTGGCGCCGCCAGCTGCTGAGGCTGCCCCCTAGCCCACCTCACTTGTACACTGGAGTTGAACAGACCCCGCCCACGATTGGAACAGTTCTTGAGTCTAGGGTTGGATCCGTGGGGCCTACTTGGAGTTGTAAGCAGGCTTGTAAGTCCCCTAATATGGGTTGTAAGTATAGTTACCTTTCTTAGAACCCTGCTTATAACTACCCATGAACCTCCAAGTAGATTTTGGGTCCTAGAAAGAGTCTAGCATCGATTTCGGGGTTTGGGGTCACGAATAGCTGTTCAAGCTGGCATGGTGACCCCTGCTCGTTCGCCGAAATCGCGTGTAATATAGGGGCTTGAATAATTACCTATACTTTGGGGGGGGGGGGGTCCTTATTATAAATATAGTATAATGTAGCCCCCCAAACCCTATTCTAATTATAACGGCCCCTATATTAGAGCATCCTGTAATCCTGTAAAGCCAACCCTGGCGTCCCTCCATCCTTAACTCTGAACCCTAAGCCCCCCAACATCCCCAAACCCAAGAGCCCTGCATCCAGAAACCCTCAATGCCCAGGCATGTATTCGGTACTATAATCACTACTTTAAAACCCTACACCCCAAACCCTAAACACTATAATGTGTTCGGTACCATACTCACTACTAGAAAACCCGTAAACCCTAAACCCTAAACGCTATAAACTCTAAAACTCTAGAACCCTAACCCTACCCCCTAAGCACTATAAGCTCTAAACCCCTCAACCCTAAACACTATAAAAAAAAAACCCAAACCCAAAACCGCAGAGCTCCGATGATGCAGACCCCCTCGCAGTCATGAGGCCCCCGACCGCCCCCAAGCTTGGGATCTTACAGTTCTGGGCCCAAGCAAAGAAGAGTGGTGAGGATACTCATATGGGAGTTTCCGAAAATAGGGGTACCTTGTTTGGGGGTCCTTAGAATAGGGATCCTACTTTTTAGGGTACTACATTAGGGTCCCCTATTTTCGGAAGCTCCCATTTTATCAAGTTTGGTAAGTATGGTAAGGACAGCAGTAAGGATAGACATACCATCAAGTTTGGTAAGCATAGTTAGGGTAGCAATAGTACTAGCAACACTGTTAGTAAGAAGAACAGTAATACTCTTGATCGTCATAATCGTAATTAGTAGAAGCAGTAGCAGTGGCAGTAGCAGTGGTAGCAGTAGTAGTAGTAGTAGTAGCAGTATCAGTAGTACTAGTACTAGTACTAGTACTAGTACTAGTAGTAATAATAATAAATCGAATCGTAAATTAGAAAAAAATAGAGCCGGGAAGGAACGATCCTCTTGTGTTGGACTTCAACTCCTTGGAGCCCTGGTTCTGCGGGGTCGCCGCTATCCTTTCAGGCTCAGCAGCTATCTTTGCCTACCTGGGTCTTCGGGGCCTAAGGTTGAGGGTTTTAGATTTTGGGTGTAGTAGGGTTTGGGGTTCAGGATTTTAGGATTTCGGGTTTGGGTTTGGTTTTGGGGATTTGGGTAACGGAGTAAGAATCAATAGTAATCCTTCGGGTTCCTTAATACGGACTTTACCCAACACCCTGTTCTACGCATCAAAGCCCCCTGTACTATGCAACCTTTTTGCCTTAAGGGTTCTGTCAAAACGCTCATGCGGTCGAGAATGCTTTACTTGGATTTGCAGGGGTTTCATTCCATAACAACCATTGACAAAAAGGTTGATGTGCAGGTGCAACAGGAGAGTTAGGGGTTCTTCAACATCATACGGGTCCCTGATGGGCTACTATGGGGTCTTTGCTGGGCCCCAATGCGTCCTGAAGCTCGCACATGCGTGAGTAAGAAGCAGGTGCATACATGTGACTGCAAGAACAAGCCTCGGCATCAGTCGTCTCCTCCGGGCTATCATCATTACCATCGTCATCCGCCATTTTCATCCTCATCATCATCCGCATCATCACGGTCATCATCATCATCATCAGCGTCATCACCATCATCATCATCATCACCTACTCCTGCGGAGAGTGGTTTTGCACTTCTGCCTCGTGGGCTTTGGGCTTCGAGTGTGCCTACAGGTTTTGGTGATCGGTGGTTTTCGTTTCGACCCCCGTGCGTGTCAGGTCGGGACTATACGGTTTATGTGGTCGCCCCTGCAGGAATCGATCAAAGACTTCCAGTGTGGGTGTACACGGAACTCCCCATCATAGCATCTGAAGCCTCGAAAGAGGTTTTGGAGTAACCGCATGGGAGGGTTTGGCAGCCAGTCCCACACTACTGCCAACAAGAAACAGAAGTTTGCAAGGTGCCATGGCTGCCGTGGTGATGTTGGGGCTTATCAGGCGCCGGACGCTTTACACTTCAGTCGCTGAGGGGTGTAAGGTGGATTCTGTTTGGCAATTCGCACTTGTGAGAAGTAAAGTAGATTCCACAGGCTCGGCAGCCGAAGTCTTTAAATTGAAGCCCGAATCATTCTTGTACCGCCCCAACTGTTCAAGTCCAGAAATTTACTACTACGCATACTACTACTCCTGCTGCTGCTACTAGTAGTAGTAGTAGTAGTAGTAGTAGTAGTAGTAGTAGTAGTAGTAGTAGTAGTAGTAGTAGTAGTAGTAGTAGTAGTAGTAGTAGTAGTAGTAGTAGTAGTAGTAGTAGTAGTAGTAGTAGTAGTAGTAGTAGTAGTAGTAGTAGTAGTAGTAGTAGTAGTAGTAGTAGTAGTAGTAGTAGTAGTAGTAGTAGTAGTAGTAGTAGTAGTGGTAGTAGTAGTGGTAGTAGCAGTACTAGTAGTACTAGTAGTAGTAGTAGTAGTAGTAGTAGTAGTAGTAGTAGTAGTAGTAGTAGTAGTAGTAGCAGTGGTGCTGGTAGCTACGCCGACGACGACGACTACTACTTCTATTACTACTACTACTACTACTACTACTACTACTACTACTACTACTACTACTACTACTACTACTACTACTACTACCCCTACTCCTACTCCTACTCCTACTCCTACTCCTACTCCTACTCCTACTCCTACTCCTACTCCTACTCCTACTCCTACTCCTACTCCTACTGCCACTGCTACTGCTACTGCTACTGCTACTGCTACTGCTGCTGCTGCTACTGCTACTACTACTGCTGCAGCTGCTGCTGCTCCTGCTCATGCTCATGCGCCTGCTGCTTGCTACTGGTTCCCCTTCTCCTGCTCCTGCTCCTTGCTGCGGTGGCTGCTGGTCCTGTTCCTCCCTCTGTACTCCTGCTACTGCCACGGCTGCGGCTAGGACGACTGCTAGGGCGACGACTCCTGCGGCTGCTGTGCTGCTGCTGCTGCTTACTCTCGCCTTGCATGGGAACACTCTAATCAGTCTTTCCGAGGCTGCGGAAGTCATTGCGGCTTGGCTTTGTCTGCGACTTGGCACATATGGTCCCAAACCTTCTCACCCAAACTCTGCTTATAAGACCCTAAGACCCTAAGACCCAAATCGCTCCCAAGATAGACCCCGATCGGGCCCTACGATCCTTTAAAGGAACCCCGTAAAAGGAGTTCATTAAAGGAAGCCCTCAGGCAGCACAATAGGAACCCCTTAACTGTGGAGGGTGGGCCAGAGCATCCCTTCCTGTAAGGGAACCTTGACAGAACCCCTTCAAAGGCTCCTTTAAGGGTTCCTTTAAGGCTTCCTTTAAGGATGCCTTGAAGGATCCCTTAAAGGAACCTTTAAGGATCCCTTAACGCAACCCCCTAAAGGATCCCTTTAGAGAGGGTCTGTTTTGAGGCATAGCGGCGGCCACCGATGAGCTGAGAGCTCTGTTGCCGGCCTTTGCAATCCTCGGAGGCTTTCTCGTGTTCTCGGCCTTTTCGGGTAGGGCTTGGGGTTTTAGGGTTTAGGGCTTAGGATTTAGGGTTTAGGGTAGGGTTTGGAGGTTTATGGGATTAGAGTTTAGGGCTTGGGGTTTAGGGGTTTAGTGTTTAGGGTTTAGGGGTTTATGGCGGCTTTCGGGGTTGTGGGTTTAGGGCTGGTCTTGGGTTGGTGTCGTTTCTTCTCGAAAATTCTGTATGGCCTCTTTTGTTGGGGTTCTAGACGGTTTGGGGTTGAGTTTTTCTGGTTTTAAAGGACTTAAGTCAGGTTTCCACAGTATGCCATTTTCTCATTTGCGCCTGTAATCGTAGCTGAAACAAAGTTCCTTTAAGAAGAACCTCGTCTTGCAAGTGGCAGTTGTGATTTGTGACTACTCTTGTTGCTTACTTTTGATGATGCTAGAGTTTTGGTTTTGGCTGAGGGCTGCAGAGTTTAAGAACAGGCGGAGCCGTAGTCTGTAAGCGCTTTTATTGGAGGTCTGAGTGGCGACAGTTGTACTCGCTGTGAGTTACAACCGTGCCTATGACTCCGCTTGAACCGTCGAGCAGTCGTGCGAACCGTACAGTAGCCTAAACCCTATACCCAAGTATACTTTCTGCAGGTTGCGCCATGGTGGGGTCCTTCTTCGCTCTGCTTGTCGGCCTTTGGACGCTGGAATTTCTGGCGTCACATGCTGCCGTGGCCTCTTGACAAAACACGACATGGCTCCACTGTGGAGCAAGGGATACTGATGAGGGACACATTCACGCATTATCGATGCGACTGAGGAATAAATGTAATTAGCAAAAACTCCCACATATTCTAAGTTCCCTTCATTTAATACAGGATTTTGTCCGTCAGCAGTAGCTCGAAGCAAGATCAATGTATCAGATGCACAGCAGTGCTGGAAGCGTGATCTTAACTCCAGAACTCTCAATCAGCAGCATAAATCATCAACATATGTATGATGCGGTGTGGTTAGTTTAAGCGGGATTCTGAGGGAGCTGTTTTCGAGTTTATTTTCAGAGTGTGAGATTTAAACTAAGCCTCATTACTCCAACCCCTCATACGCTAATGAGCATAACACCCTACAAACACCAGGTTCTAGCAGGGTCGATTCTCCAGATTTCGGAGGCTGTGGAGGCTTAGGGGTCTGGACTTTACCTTGAGTTTAGGTTTCCGGTTTGGGGGTGTCCTGCTTCTCAAGGTGTTTCGGATTTAGGGTGGGGTTTAGGGCGTTTAGGAATTAGGGGGGTGTAGTACGATCTGCGCTGTAGCTTCAGGGCATTCGGACGGCTGCCCGGCTGAATTATGCATAGACACCATGTGCACCTCCCCTGGCCTCACTGTGAAAACGTGACATCACTGTGGCAGGATTGCACCCGAAAGGGCCAGATCCAAAGGCATACGTCCTAGACGCCAAGCATCAATCAATTGAGCGTGAACTCCGCAACCTGTCAACCCCACACTGCAAACCTAAGGCTCAAAATAAACCCCAAAGCCTTAGCTAGTATGGTCTTTGGGCCCAAGCATCTACATCTACATGTATATACATATGTATATATATATATATATATATATATATATATGTACGTATGTCTGCATGTATGTCTATATATGTGCATGTATATACTGTATGTCTAAGTCCTTCGAGCCTTAGGGCAAACGTGTGAGGAGTGGGCGACTTACCCCCTCCGCAACAGCTCGGGCCATGTGCTGACAGAAGAGAACCTTGGGAGCTTCGCCCACGACGACTTGCCTGAGGTGGGGGTTTAGGGGTTTAGGGTTGAGAAGTTTGGGGGTTTAGGGTTTAGGGTGCAGCAAAGGCTACTTTAGGGGCCCAAACAATTGCCTATATACTGTTGGGGGGGCCGCGGGGGGTTCTTATTATAGTGAAGTTCAAGAATACACCTAAATCCTTATTCTAATTACCAAGGCCCCTATGTTTGGTGCTGTTGATGGGCTATCGGGTTCGGGGATTAGGCTTTATGGGAGTTGGTGGGGGAAGGTTGCTCCTTTGTTTGCTCTTTGATAGTTGCGTCGAGTCCCGATGTTGGACGAGAGTGGTGATTGCCATGATGCTGATGGCGGCCATAATGATATCCATCCAGCCGTCACTTGACAAGTTGCTGCCGAAGAGTCCAGCTATTGTGTCTTTCAGTGAAGCACGTACACCTAGGCAGAACATGATAAGATGTCCTTAAACCCTGAACCCGACCACACGGATGCGCCATGTGAGCCTGAGCCGCTTGGCCTTCCGTTAAGCACTAAAACCCCTTAGGCTCGCAGGGTAAACCTTTCTGCCTATCACCTTAATATTGGAGCTTGAACACTGAGTCACGCTATTGGTAATGTCGAATATCATAACACAGTCAAACTGATTGAATGGAGCCGTGTGAAGCTGTAAACTCTCCATAGAACCTGCTTTCAATTTTCCAACTATTTAGACACCGATTGTTCATAGATTCATAGTTATATAGTGGAAGCTTGCAGAAAACACTCCACACCCCGATTCCAAATCTTAAAGCCCCCATGATACTAAACCCCAGACCCCAAACCCCTAGAACCCTAAACCCTAAGCCCCTAGAACCCTAAACCCTAAACCCCTATATAGAGCCCTAGAGCCCTAAACCCTAAACCCCAAGGACCCTAAACCCTAAACCCCTAGAGCCCTAAACCCTAAACCCCTAGAGCCCTAAACCCTAAACCCCTGGAGCCCTAAACCCTAAACTCTAAGCCCCCAGAACCCGAAACCCCTGGAGCTCTAGAACCCTAAACTCTAAACCCCTAAACCCTGGAACATCAGAGCCCCAGAAACCCAAACCCCTAGAGCCCTAAACCCTAAACCCCAGAGCCAGGCGTTTGGCTTGCAGCTGGTGTAGTTTCTCTTTGAGTCCACCGCTGCTCGCCATTACCCTAGCGCGGCCTCGGGATAGGCCCGCGAATATTGCTCCGTGAGGCAAGGTGCCCGGAGCCGCCCGGCCTGCCTTTTAGTCTTTCGCTGCCTTGTGCCGACAGACTATCTGGTATCGCTGGTGCTTTCTGCAATTTCTGTTTTCCCAGTCTGCTGTACCCTTGAGGAGGCAGGTCTGGAAGGTCCCCCATTGGGCTGGACGCAGTGTTCTATGCGAACACTGCTCTTTTCATTCCTTCTGATCTGCTGTTATAGTGGCTCCACTCCGATTTCGCATCGAGCCTGCCTGGCACAGACGCGCACGAAGAGCGCGGACACGGGCGAGAACGGTTTTGAGGACGTTCTCGACTACCACGCCGGACATTTCTATTCAGCAGGCACTTCGAGCCCTCCACGGACATCACTCCAACAGTACAGTGGTGCAAGCCGGCGTCAGGGAGTTGCGGCGTCGACAAGACAGCTCCGACGCAACCATGTCTGGTCAGGCCAAAGCGTGGTGGTGCTACAGCTGCTCGCATTGGTGCAAAGCCAAGGCCAGTTTTTGTGGTGCCTGCGGCCAACGTTGGGACCAACAGACTGCTTGGCCGAGGCAGCCCACCTACACGGGGGAGGCTGCTACACCTCGGGGTCGACGTGGAGATCCGTCACCTCGCAGAGGCGACCCGCCTTGGCAGGAGCCCAAGCGGCCCAAGTCGCCGAGACACCGTGGCAAAGGTCGAGGCCAACCCAAGGGGGCAGAGGCTCCAAAGGGCAAGGGCAAACAGCCACTTGCGCCTCCCACGGCTCCGAGTCTGGAAGGGTTTCCAAAGCTGCCTGCCACGCCCTCGCCCAATCTCCCGAAGAAGCCAGGAGGAGAGAGCGCTGCGAATGGGGCAGCATCCTCGTCCGACAGGCTGCAATTGGAAGCAGTCATGGCGGTCCTTGCTTCCGCTCCCAACCTACCGGATGCCGCACAAGCCATGCTCACCGAGTTCCAGAAAACAACTTCGAGGAGCACCGCCAAGGATCTTCACAAAGCAGTGGCCGACCAGGCAAAGGCGCGGCAAGAACTTGCCAAGCTGAAGGGGGCGCGACAGACCTACCTCTCTTCTTGGCGGGACTACATCACACAGGTGATGGACTTGCTGGATGGCCAAGTGCAAGCGCAGTCAGCCACCCTAGCCGAGTTCTCTCAGGCCGAGCTCGAGTGGACACAACAGGAGGCTCAGGCCACAAGAGCTCTGGCCAAGCTAGCCTCACAAAGTGGTGGGGCGGCAGACTCCATAGAAGTGGAGGAGAGCGCGGACGACGCGATGGTCGACGAGGCCATCGAGATCGAGCAACTGCTACGCAAAGAGCAAGAGGAGCAGCAACAGAGCTCACAGCAGTTGATGGGCGTGCTACAGGCCGTCAAGCAGAGGGCGGAAGAGCAAGCGAAGCACGAAAGAGAAGGTTCGAGAACCCCGCGGCGGAGATCAACAGAGACATCCGAAGACAAGGCGAACGACAAAGACAAACCGCCTTCAAAAGCCGCCACGCCATTTGGGCTTGGGCAGGGTGGCTTGCCTCGCAAGGAGGCCTCGCAGGGAGCTGGGCCCGATGGGCAGCCCCCTCAATAGGCCCACATTTAGGCCACTTGGCTATCTGTGGGCCTGATCTTTGCCGCCCATTTTGGAGCGAAGGCAATAGCATAGTCATGGAAGCCGACTTTACCGGCCCCTCCTCCTGTCGATGGTTGGCGATGTTGCTACAGCTGGAAGTCCGATGGGAGGACTGTCTGACTGCCGATCAACTTCATCGCTTCCCGATGTGGGAGGACGCACGCTTGTGGGGAGATGGCAGTGTACCTCCCTCCTACTTTGATGTGGCGCAGGCTCAGGCTTGGGATTGCCTGACTGCATCCACAGCAGTCCTCTGTGCAAGCTGTGACCCCGCACATGGCGCAGCCGGCGATCATGGTGAACCAATGTGCTTTTCTGCTGTAGCCCGAGGAATCCGCGGCGACGATGGGTGTCGTGTCTGTGGACTCGCTGCTACAGGAGACTGCACAGCGGTTTCCTTGACGCCGACTTCGAGCCTGCGCGAGAGGCCAGCAACTGAGCGGGATGTACAGGTTGGTCCCCGAATCTGCCAAGAGCAGTCGGAGCCACTGTATACTACTGTACACTATGGTAAGCTGCGTCAGGGTCCGACTGTCCACTTTGATGATACGGTCCAGACCGTCAGCAGAGAGCGCCGCCCCACTTCCTGTTCCACCGGGGTGAAGGTTCAGGTTCCCGGCATCCTCCGGCGCACCCCTGCTCAGCCATTCCATTGGGCTCCGGATCACTCACCACCCTCCGATTCCATGGAGGTTGCTGCCACAATGCCTGACTGTGCCCTTAGGGACACTGTTGATGGTAAGACACCACTGGAGCCTGCCTGGCTTCTTCGTCGGCCTTTTGTTACGGTATGCAAGCATGACAGGCCGCCGCCTGGGATACAAAGACCGCCTGACAGAGGCGACCGGGACACTCGAACCCCGCCTCCCAGCAGCCGCATACCTGCAATTCGTCAGCCAGGAAACATTGCTCTGATTCGTGCCAGCCATGTCAAGGTTTTGCCTCCGGAGGTGCGAGCCGCTCCAGTCTTCACTGGCACCATCGGAGCATTTTCCTGGACGGGAAGCGACAATGAAGTGCCTGGATCCTACACAGTATTTGATGTCATCAGGCACTACACCATTGAAAGAGCCCCGGCCCAGTCTAGCCTTCATGAGGTTGTGGCCCTCGCCATAAGTGGCTCTCCTTTTGCTGTAGGCTCCATCCAGATACTCATGGACACCCTGCCTGGACTTCCGAGCCCCCAGATTGTGTTGCAGGCAACGGTCCAACCGCCGACGGATCGGCCGATTCCGTGGGATTGCCGAGCCATAGGTGAGAGCATTTACACGATCCGTCACAATGCAGGGCAGTCGCGCACCGATGCACTCGGCTTGCTCAATCGGCGCATCAGGGCACCGAGAAATATCGTCGATGAGCACGATCGTGGGCTTATCCAAGCCACTGATGCCGCCGGAGCTCTGCCACCCATTTTTCCTTTGGAGCTTGAGATTATGCAGCACATCAGGCTGCAACCAGGCCCTCAGCAATTTCCTCTGGGTGTGCATCTAAGACGCCCTTCAGGGGCTACCGGGGTGATTGAAATTAGCGACACCCTCAGGAGCCCGCGGGTCTTTGTAGTCCCACCTCACCCGGCTACTCTCAGACTGATGATCGTTAGGGGCACAATCGTCTTTTCTGCTGAAGTACCCGCAGGCTGTCACCAGATGGATTCGGTTTTACATCGACTGCTGGAGCAACATCATGCTCAGTCCCCCTTGCCTGAATCCTTCACAATCTCCCTGGCGCGAGCCCTACCACTGCGGGCAGGCTTCTTTCAAGAGGTTTTATTCGTGTTGGGAGAAGGTCGCGGGGTGACTTGCATTTGGGATCCTAGGCACATTGGCCAACCGCTGCAAACCTGCACTCTCAGCGCCCAACAATCTACGCATGACATTCTGTCAGCACAATGGCGCGCTGAGGGTTGGCGACTTTTTGTGAATGGGGCGCCAGAAGCAGCCGCACTACGCCAGGTCCAGCAAGGCGACTACCTGCAACCATGTACTAGCCAGGCCTCTCCCGGGATCGTACCCCTCGCCAGTGTACTAGCGGATTGGCCAGAACTTCGGCCCTATGCTTGGGCAATGACTGCAGGTCTGGACAGATGGCAACTTTTTGCAGCCGCGCGCACTCGTCGGATTCAGTTAGGCTGTCACAGGATGCCAGAGGGTCTGGCACGGCTTTATGGACCTCACCACGGAGAAGTATTCATCAACCTGGCCACTCACATT